CCACCTTCCCAGCACAGCTACGCCACTGCCGGCTCTGAGGGAACCACCCCCGGTCATCCCGCACACAATCCCAGCGAACACCCCTACCTCACCCCCTCGCCCGAATCGCCTGACCCCTGGTCCTCCTCGTCCCCCCACTCCAACTCAGACTGGTCCGATGTCACCACAAGCCCCACCCCTTTAGGAAACCCCCGCACACTGCCTCCTTCCTGCCACACACACATTCCCGAACAAGCCCAGCTGCAGCCCCAGTCTCAGGCTGCGCAGCCGACGCAGTCCCAGCAGTCCCAGCGCAGCAGTGTGTACGCGTAGGAACTCGGACCTTTGAGAGTTTAATTGCACGGCCATTTTGATTCTCTCTCTTCAGCTTACAAGGGAGTGGCCAACTGTCCTTCTCTCCACCCTCCATGTCTTTGTTACGCTCTGCATGTTGACTGAAGTTTGCGTATCGTAAATTCCTACTAGCCTAAATATTTTATCTCACAGGAGCCCCGAACTAAATAGAGAAACAGCTTTAACAACACGGGACTTCTGTTCACGGCCATCTACGACCTGAGGCACTTTTACCAATGGACAATTACACTGCCAAGCTAAGGAGTCCGTTATTGTCCAGAGTTTTGAGATGTTTATTTCACATTTTAGTCAAACCTTTTATGTTTTGAAGGAAATTTTCTCATTTAATCTGCTATCTTTTTTTGATCATTTTTGTTGATGATAAAGTCAGATATGCTTAGTTGGTACCAACCTTAAAGGGATAGTTTACCCAAAAGTGAAAATGTATCATATACTCACAAACCTTTGACCTTGTTCTGTAGAATACACAATGAGATATATATAGATATATATATAATTAAACTAACAATTAAAGTCAAAGTGCTTTAAGGTTGTTTTGAACCCCATTGTATAAAGAGAAAATTAGTTGAAACATTCTTAAAAATATTTTCTTTTGTGGTACAGGTTTGGAATGACATCAGGGCGAGTAAATAATGAATAATGAACGAGTATATGGTTTTGAGTAAACTATCCTTTTAACTGATAATTTAAATAATATTTTTATGTAATGGGTCAGCTTCCATGTCTTCTAAGTTTTTGTTTAGATCAACCTGCATTTTCTTTTTTGTTGTGATGAAATGTTTCTTAAATGAACTGGTGGTACTTGTCTATTTTTTGTGTGATTGGTAGCATTTATGTGCTCCAAACTCATGCCCACATACATCTCATTCGTTCATGTGTGGTTCAGAGCTAAACTGTGGTGTAAATAGTTAAATGTCACTTTTTTTTAAAGATCTATTTCTATGCTGTCTGTTACGGTTTATCCTCTGCCTTGCCAATTATTACAAGAGGTAAAAGGAGGTGTGTAAATATGAATGGGTTCCACTTTGTTTCTTTTGAAATTGTATGCAGTATTCAGTGGCCACACAAACATGACAGAGGTTTGAAGAAGAATTCCAGCAGCCATCGTCAAGCCGCTTGAGCCTTTCGGAAAAGGAAACATTTAGACAAATAATATTATCAGTGCCTTTTACAACATATTTGTAACCATTGTTACTATTTTATTTGTTTTGTTCTGCTTTTTTGTTACTGTATATTAATATTGTAAGCAGTTTAACTGGTTTTGAAGTTCTACCTTTTATGTACAAGAGTTTTAAATACATGTCATGTATTTTCTTTCTTAATTACAATCAGCCTGTCCGTGCAACCGTTTAAATCACTTGGCAATTTAGAAATCATACTTTATACAATCTAAATGTACTGTTTCACTTTTCTGTTGTGTGTTTTGAGCAAAGCTTTATAAAATTGATTAGTACAATCACATTCTTTTTTGTGTGTTTTGCACAATAAAGCCCCTGGGTCTCTTAAATGCCAAATAAACACTCATAATAGTATTTAGAAATGCATGCATACATTAGCCAGAGTGGTAATAAAATACTAAGGTCTTATAAACTTCCGGTATGCTGTATTTGTTCAGATGGGTGGGTCAGTTATATTGTGTGTGCTCAAGGTCAATATTAAGAGAGTCTGCTTATGCAAATAAAAACACGTATGTACTATAGGCTCCATATGGCATATTCCTTTTGGAAACAGTTGATATCCTGTAGCACTTAAGGGCCCTTCAACAGTATGATCTTTAGTGTACTGAAACCGGAGGAATTTAAAGGGTGTTAGTCCACCAAATAAAGATCAAAGCAAAGCTTTTGGAGCATCGTATTTTCACCCGAATGTTATGCAAAGCTATTTTTATATGTGCTGTATATAATTTTTTTTTTTTTTTATGCCTATTGTACTTTCTTTTCCTGTCCACCAAATATATGCATACAGTATGCTAGAATGAAGTAAATGTTTCATCTTAGTGTTTTGTAGATTCAAATTTGTGCTTTAAAGAACAAAAGCCTGTGTAATGGAAATAATTCAAGACAATTGATTATTAAAATAGAGATGAAACTAATAAAGGAAAACCTTTACAAATTGATCTAGTTAAATGACTGAGTTCCTTTCTGCCGCTGGTACACACTAACAAATGTAATTAAACATCCCATCCTTTGATCAACATTCACTCTCAACCGTTGAAAAACCTCCAGTCCTCTTAGTGCCTGTCGAATCTATCTATCTATCTATCTATCTATCTATCTATCTATCTATCTATCTATCTATCTATCTATCTATCTATCTATCTATCTATCTATCTATCTATCTATCTATCTATCTATCTATCTATCTATCTATCTATCTGTCTGTCTGTCTGTCTGTCTGTCTGTCTGTCTGTCTGTCTGTCTGTCTGTCTGTCTGTCTGTCTGTCTGTCTGTCTGTCTGTCTGTCTATCTATCTATCTATCTATCTATCTAATATGGCTGTCTGTCTGTGTGTGTGTGTGTATCTATAAAAAGGGAGGTTAAGTTACAGCTTAATGACAGTGACAAAAATGTTCTTGAACATTGGGGGCACTTTTGCATGGTTGTTGTTTGTAGGATTTTTCCTCAGCGTTCAATACACTGCATCCCATTATTTTAGCAAATAAACTTGTAAATGATATTAATTTTAGTCATGGGCTATTCTCACGTATTTTGGACTTTCCCAGACAACAACAAAAGTGTGGGCCCACATCTGGTACGCGTGGAATCCACATGTACCAGATGTGACCCGGATCTGGGCAGACACTATGTTGCTGTCTGGGTTTTAACAGGCAGGCAGCAAAGGGTCAGGATAAATGGAGTTTTATCTGACACACTTTATACATATATCTTCTCAAGGTTGTGTACTGTCATCGACTATCATCATACTTTAAATGACTGCTGAAGTTCTCAAGATAATTGTCAAGTTGTTAAATATGCAGATGACACAGTTCTTCTATCTCTCAAGTTCGGAGTATGATGATAGTCAAGCACTCCATGAGTTCATTACGTGGTGCAATAGACCTTATTCACAGCAGTGTGTTGTTCTGCAGACAAAACACTGCAAAATATATTTCCAAGAAACTTCAGTTCAAAAGGTACAGCACGCACATCCAAAACAATAAAGCTGGGTGCTGGGCAGACAGGTAGTTGCAAAAAATAAACAATGAGTCCGCACACCAGAAAGTGCTCCTAAGTGAGTTTAATAATTGCTCACCACGTGTAACGTTTCGGGCCCAAGCCCTTCATTAGACATCAGTTGCCTTCAAGAAACTTCAGTTGACATAAAATACCCGACAATATGAGTTGTGGAAAATTATAGGCCTAAGTGATCAGACAGTTGAACTCCATTGACTTCCATAGTAGGAAAACAAATACTATGGAAGTCAGTGGGGTCCATCAACTGTTTTGTTACCGACATTCTTCAAAATATCTTCTTTTGTGTTCAGCAGAAGAAAGAAATTCATACAGATTTGAAACAACTTGAGGGTGAGTAAATTATGACAGAATTTTCATTTTTAAGTGAACTATTCCTTTAAGTCTGTTAAGTGTGTGTGTGTGTGTGTGTGTGTGTTTAAGCCCTTTGTAATTGCCCCTAGTGGGATTAATAAAGTGGTGAACTAAACTAGACTAATCTATCTATCTATCCATCTATCTATCTATCTATCCATCCCAATTCGCATTTGGCTAAGCCCCGCCCCCCTTGGTTACTGTTGCTACGTCCGACAAACAAACTTCATCTGGGCTCTGGTATCAACATGACAGCTCTTCCTGCTGAAATTTTATCAAACTTTTATAAAGCAGCAAATAAAGTGTCCGATAGAAGTAGGCAAAATGAGCTGCAATATACGTTCGAAGGCTATATTCACGACATACAGGTGAAACGCACGGAACAATAAGGCATCCAAACAGAGCCAAAAGCCTCTGTTTTTCAAAAAAAAAAAAAGAACCACCGCATATCCTACTAATCGAGACGGAGGCTGGGACAAACAACATCAAGGAGCAACACTGTTCATGCAAAGCTGGGTAGGTCTCTATTCACTTCTATTATCGTTATTACAAAGCAAACGGACTACGCGAGTATAATAACGTTGTATTTATTAGCAGAGTGTGCTAGACGACACTTGTCAGGATTTGACTTCGGTTTTAGGAAGGGAAAAAAACGCACACCCCCCTCCAACCTCTCTGGGAAACGCGTATCTGTGTTACAAATGCCCCAGGCACAACGTTTAACCATATTTTTGATAACACTACGACGGTAATAGCCTGCCGAGACCAAACATATGAGACGCCTGTGTTAAAGTCAATGGAGCGATGTGGAAAAAGTGTCGGACCTCTGTGCAAGCTCGTTCTTGGCTGCGCTGTGATTGGTCAATCTACATTCTAGGGTGTGGCTTAGCCAAAGGCGAATTAGGTCCAGTCAGGCTCTGGGTCCAGTTCAATTTTGAAATAAATTGAACATCATTCTGTCCGCCAACCGACAGGTGGCGACAACGACTCATAATCAAAAGATCGAAACAACAAAACACTAGGAAGTACTGCAAGATTGTTAAGATTCATGATTTTCTACACTTCACTTGACAGTCTGCTTTTCATTCTTGATAGGTGAGGGAATCAGCCATGAGTAAAACATATAGCAGATGACCATGCGAAGTGGACACCCGGAACGGTTGATTTTATCAAATAATAATAGCTTAGCAGCAGTAGCTCTTAGTGTTTAAGTGTCAAAATAAGACACTGCTGAAGTATTTAACGTTACTCACTGTATGTACATTCAACTTAAGTAGAATCTGCAAGGATGGATCTTTGACGGGGATTAAAGTTTATGTTTGCCTTCAAACTCCTACTCATAAACTGCAACTCTTCCGGATTACTGCTATAGTCTTCTGAAAAGGTAAGACTATGAAAATATATGTAATATTTACGTTTAAAAACTAATTGGTATCATAGATTTATGTTAAACATCTGCCCATGTCATTGTGACTTGCGATAAAATATAACTTAGATATTTTGTTGTTGTTGTTTTTGTTGTTGTTTTTCATGTTTTTGTCATTTATATTTATTTATTCATCTATTCACTAGTAAATTCGGAAATCCAAATTTTCTGAATATTTCTGAAATAATGACAGTTAATATATTTAATATTTCTGTATCTAATGTTTCTGAATATTTTACTATTTGTGTCCTTCAGTTAAAGGAATAGGCCTAGTTCACCCAGAAGTGATATAAATAATTGTAAGATAATTGTTGCTAAGTGTGATAAGCATTATTTACTCAACCTCATGTTGGCTTTATTTCTTCACTGGAAACAAAAAAGTTGATGAGTGGAATGACAGCCTCAGTCACCATTCACTTTGGTGACTGATTGCAACAACATGAGTGAGTAAATGGGGACACACTTTTCATGTTTGATTGATCCATCCCTTTAATTGTTTAACATTTCAATCCTACATTTATTTTAGTAAACTGTAGGGTTAATGTTTGATTTCTTGATCAAGGACACTATATTGTGTGGATACTATATAGCTCTGGATATCAGTGTTGTTTATGGCCATTAATGTTTACAGAGCAGCTTGCTTGTCGGACCCAGCTGGGACAACATTGTATTTCAACATCTGTCTGCTCTTTGCCCTTTTCTGCCTCATGTCACCCCAGTCTGTCCTGGTCTCCTCGTGAGAGGCTGTCATCATGGCATCGGCCAAGCTTAAGTACCTCTCTCTTGGGGTCCTGGTGTTCCAGACCACGTCCCTGGTGCTGACCATGCGTTACTCGCGCACCTTACAGGGCGACGGGCCGCGTTACCTCGCCTCCTCTGCCGTGGTGGTGGCAGAGTTCCTCAAGATCCTCACCTGTGTGGGGCTCGTCTTCAAAGATCACAGTAAGTTTCATTGTGCCTCCTTCCTCCTTGAGATTGTTTTCAGTATATCTTCTTGAAAGCACCTCAAGAATGAAGTAGCTATTCTTTTTCTGTTCATCCAAAAGTAGTAAGTAGACCACTACAGACAGAATTTACAACGCAGAATGTACAAATCTACTCATCAATTTCTTTACTGACATTGTGCCTCAGATTCTAAATATTTTTCAAAGATTTGAAACCACTAACCTGGAAAACTTTTTCGTAAGTGCTCATAATATCAACCTGGTACCTTTCAAACATGTTAAAACAATATTTTTTAAACAAGTCCACCCTTGTTCCTAGATGTTACAGTATGTTGCTGTCAGGTAATCTGACTGGAGCTATTTTCACAATAAATTTTAAAAAAGTATCTTATGCTCACTGAGGCTGCATTTATTTAATCAAAATATACAGTAATATTGCGAAATGGTATTTTACAGTTAAAAATAACGTATATGTATTTTAATATATTTAATATGAAAATCAAAATTTTCAGCATCATTACGCCAGTCTTCAGTGTCACATGATCCTTCAGAAATCATTCTGATTTGCTGCTCAAGAAACATTTCTTATTGGTATCAATGTTGACGACAATCAATGAAACGACCCCCATATATTTGAACGGTAATGAAAATCAAATAATGTGAGGATTGGAATCCTATATACAGTATATGCCGCCTGAGTCTGAGTCTACATCGGGGAGGAATGGCTCAGAATTATTGCTGAGTGTAACTACTGTATCTGTGTGGAACAGGTTACAGCGGCCGAGCACTGAGCAGTATTCTGAGACAGGAGATTCTACACAAACCTATAGAGACGCTGAAGCTGGCGATTCCTTCTGGAATCTACACGCTACAGAATAACCTGCTCTACGTAGCGCTGTCCAACCTTGATGCAGCTACCTACCAGGTAAGTCCATATGCATTTATTAGTTGCATACATTATTTTATGGCTATCGTTATGTTTTTTTTATGTATCCTGTGCACTTCTAGGTGACATACCAGTTGAAGATCCTGACCACAGCCCTGTTTTCTGTGTTTATGCTGGGCCGCAGGCTCGGGGTGTACCAGTGGTTGTCTCTGCTAATTCTTATGGCTGGGGTTGCACTTGTACAGGTAAATATACCTTGATTAGAGATTAACTGCCAAAAAATGTGTTGCAATCTTTGATGTATTAATGTAATTCATGATTTCTTGTTTGGACAGTGGCCAGCGGACTCCACGTCAGACCCTCAGAAAGAGCAGCCGACTGCAGGCTCACAGTTTGTGGGGCTGATGGCCGTGTTGGTGGCCTGTTTCTCCAGTGGGTTTGCTGGCGTCTACTTTGAGAAGATCCTTAAAGAGACCAAGCAGAGTGTTTGGGTCCGAAACATCCAGCTTGGTAAGTCGTTTTAAAGAAATAAAACATACATGGGTCATTGCAGAAAATGAGATCTGTGACTAACAAAAGCTTGTGATTCTTACATGCTTTGTTCATCGTGATAATAATAATAAGCTAAACTCAGGCTATAAACCAAATACACCACGGTCTCACAACTTAAACGTCACCATCACTAACTCTTTTTTTTTTTTTTTCACTAATGGCTTTGTTTAAAAACATTTTTCCTGAAAGCTCGAGTTATAATAGTTTGCAAGAGTGTGATTATAAACACAACAAGGCTTTGAAAGTGGACTAGTGAGTAGATGAGTTTACCTGTTCAGCTGATGACGTTTAATGTCCCAGACAACCTCTTTAGCCCCATTTAGCCACTTATTAGCAACCACCTTTTTTCAAGTAAAAGCTTTAAAAAAATCACAAGAGGGTATTTCCGATGTATTTTATATCGTAGGATAAAACGTGAACATATCTTGAGCTTGTTTTCACCACAGACCTTATTTCAAGGATTTTACCAAAAACCCATTGACTTCAGGACAATGGAACCGGAAGTGCTAAAATGCTAACTTGTTTCTGGGTTTTGGCCTACAAAAATACATCATCCCTGCACCACTCTATATTATACTAAAGCAGGGGTCGGGAATCTATTTAACATTCAGTGGTGTTTCAACAGCTACTAAGTACAATGTATTGTTCTATGAGCAGAAAGCAACAAAAAAGCAGATCAAATTGCATCACTGGGATGGGCGACTACACCTATGCGTGCCAATGCGAACACACCTGCCTTAAGTTGCTGGCCACTACTAGAGGGATTTGCATATGAAGTCACGCAATAAATTGTGGTTTTAGTATAATCAGTATGTATGATGCTTTTCCTCAATCTGAGCATCTTGGTGTTCAGATCAAATGAACACTTCACACGGCTTAGATAGGTGACAATTAACTGATAACACGAAGCACTGACACATACAACCTATTTTTACACTAGAAGTCTGGTGACTTCTGTATGATATGTATTACCTAAAGATGTTCTCAAATTTCAAACAACTGAAATTTGTATTTATTTTTAACAAGCAGAATCCTTGTACAAAAAAACCCCAGTATGAGGTCACATTCAGGAGCTTAAGGCGAATATGTATGTGCGTGTTCATTCTTGCCATGTGGAGTCACAGTGTAAGATTTATTTATAACTGCCAATGTGTGAATTGAGCGTCTGTAGTGATTCACCTCCTAATGTGAACTTCTGTTCATCATAATGAACGAAGCCAAAAAAGCATCCCTGTTCTTCAATGAGTGCCAAGATAATTTGATAACCTATAATTTCATCATTTCTTTTCTCAGAATGAAGTCGTTTATTGATTTATACACTATCGTTCAAAAGTTTGTGGTCAGTACGTTTATAATGTATAATGTTTCTATTTCAAATAAATGATATTTCTATTTCTATTTATTCAAATATTGTAGTTTCCAAGGAGCACAACTGTTTTTAACCTTGATAATAATAAGAAATGTTTCTTGAGCACCAAAAATGTAACGTGTAATATTACTATTTTACAGTTTTTTAGCAAATACATTTACTAAACCTTTGAACTAGTGTAGATTACAGTAGTTTGATTTAATGTTTACGAATTTGAATAATTCATTCAATCTTAATTATAATTTGAGAATGAACCTACTAGATGTGTGTCTGGAATTTTATATGAACCTACTCGCTTCATTTGTCTCAAAAGAAATGAATGGTGAACAGCCATTCTGCTACTGTACTTTCCTTGTATGACTGTACATATCTGAGTGCTGTGGTATAGTATCTCACATGTATCTTCTGTGCGCAGGCATGTTTGGCCTGGTTTTTGGGATCTTCGGGATGTTGGCATACGATGGAGACAGAGTCCAAGAACACGGAATGTTCCAGGGCTACAACACGCTGACCTGGATTGTGGTTGCTCTTCAGGTGAGCCTGAACACTTTGCAGTACAAGACTTGTGAAGTACAAATGTTTACGTGTGAGTCAGAGTTGATAACTGCTTCATCATTAACAGCGAACAGGAAGCCAACACAAGCTTTTCTCCTGGAACGATATCAATTGATTATTTTTTTTATTTCAAACAGGCTCTTGGAGGACTCGTAATAGCTGCTGTCATCAAGTATGCTGACAACATACTAAAAGGGTTCGCTACATCACTCTCAATAATCCTCTCCACATTCATTTCATATTTCTGGCTTGAGGACTTTGAGCCTACTAGGTAAAAACAAATGTGATCAATAAATGCTTTAAATTCAACTGAATTCAACTTTTTTTTTTAAAAGCACTCGTTTTTCTCTCCTGTGCAGCGTGTTCTTCCTGGGCACAGTATTTGTCATGATGGCGACGTTTCTCTATGGTTATGAGAACAAGCCGGCGACCAACCCAAGCAGAGCATGATAAATGGATGGATGATGTGAAAGTGGAGTGGAACAAAGGGATGAAACGAGTGGAAGGACGGAGAAGAGGAGAGGAGGCGTAGAGAGCGGACAAGGATTGATTCAAGGTTGGATAACAAGCTGGGCCACTGCTGTGCAGTGCTGAGCTGAAGCACACTGGGTGTAATGCTTTGGGCCTGTGGTTTCAGTGAAACTCGTTTAGCTTGAAAACATTCATCATCGCTAATCTCATTAATGGGTGATGGATAAAAACACTTCATAACGTGCCATCTTCAACTGATTCTGGATGAGCTGAGACCTTTTTTTGGATCATGACTTGAGCACAGAACTCGTTTGGCTCTTCTCAATCATTAATATCTGTCCATCTTTGAGGGGCAATGGCTGCTTTTGGATCGCTAATTCGCCACAAATGAAACTTGAATCTCGCATTAACTCGCCAATGGATATTAGGCTACTAATGGGGTCGTTGCATCACTGTATTTTTGTGTCATTATTCAAACTGCTTACGTCCTACAAAAATATATTTTATGTTATTTTAATAGACTGGGATGCTGGGTTAGATTCTGTGCCATAGAAATTGAGAGAATGGCATACATTTTGTGAATACGATGGAAACGTTTTGATATTATTATAATGAAATGATAATAACAAGACTTATGACAATGAGGCTAGCCGGTCAGTTTGCGGGATATGGTGATTACAGATTAATTTATGTATTACCTCTGTCAAGTACGGAGCCCCTAAAGGGACGTGTTGATGGAAAAAATATTATTCAATGCTTTAACATTCGCTCGCAAATGTTTTGCGTTCCCCCGAGAATCTTTGCGTTCACTAGCAAAACTTTTGCGAACAAATGCAAAGATTTTGTGAATGAATACAAAGTTTCTCGAGGGAACGCAAACATTTTGCGAGCGAATTAAAAGTTTCTCAGGGGAACGCAAAACATTTGCGAGAGACCGCAAAAGCATTGACAATTTTCCTTCCCATCTCATATCCCATGTCCCTTTAGGGGCTCTGTAACAAAGAATACTTGAGTTACTCCATTATATATGCAAGGAAGTGCTTTTTTAGCGACTTTGCACCATGTGTGAAGCTATATTGGTATCTGGTGAGGAGTAATAATAAATCAGGTGTTTAATTATATTCTTTTTTTTTTTTTTTAACAATACATACATTTTCACCATGGCAGCACAAAATTTAAAAGAAAGAGGTTTGGCATTTGTTTCAAAAGGTGTAAAAACAATGCATGCAATCACAGCTTGAAAAAGGCAAAAAGGTTTTTCTGTTCTTACATACAGTTGGCCATTCAGATCCATGTTTATTTGATCAGTCAGGATGCTGTATCTGCCCGAGTCCTTCAAAACACACTGAACCACAAAAACAATAAACTTTACAGTGACCTCAATGTTGTTTTTGAAGTCTGTGCATCCCATATGGCATCATAAATTTAGTTTATACAATGGCTTTAATGCTCATTTTTGATAATCAAGCAGTCACTCCACTGTAATTTGTGCAGGCGCTGCATGGATACTCTTGAGGAGGAAGAAGAGGGTGCTTCAAAGAAGAAGGTGGTTTTTTTGTGCTTTCCTGTCTGGATGTGTGTTCGTTATCTCAGTAGGAATGTCCGGACTCCGGATAGTTTGCACCTCTCTAATGAGTAGCGGTGGGAGTTGGGTGTTTTCAGCACTGTTCAAATCTTTCTCTTGCCCTCCCTCGATTCCCTCGCTACAAGGTGAGCTGACAAGTGAAATTGTAGACAGCTCCAGACATTCTTCAGCTTAGAGCTTAGAAATTCAAGCAGGCGAAGTCCTGTCATTTCCACTTCAGCAGTATTCACAGTCCAGGTTATGCTCTGTGGAACTAAAAAGTCTTATATCTCTTCTTACTTCATTTATGCATGCTGAATAGCAAATATATCTGACAGTTGGGGCTTTCTGTTTCCTTCAAATGAACTTTGAATGCAACCAATTAAGTTGAAAGGCAATACTGAATTCTATTGTACACCTTCTGAAGTCATACATTCATTGACAACCGTTTCTCTTGTTTTGCAATACAAGTAGCATGTAAGGCTTGCTGCTCTGCCTGAGCAGGACTGGCTCCTGTGTATCTCAGATGTTTTACACTTAAAGAGAACTTTTAAAAGAGAAGGTTGGAGTTAAATGATCTGTAAATAGTTGAATTGTCTGTAATACTCCACCCAAAAACGAACATGAAAATTCTGCCATCATTCACCCTCATGTCGGTCAGAAAAACATTTTGAAGAACGTTGGGGAGTAAAACCATTGACTTCCATTGTATGGACAAAAAAAAATTCTCAAAATATTTTCATGTTCCACAGAAGAAAGAAAATCATACAGGTTTGGAATGACATTATGGTTATTACATTATGACAGAATGTCATTTTTTTTGGTGGAGTATCCTTTTATGTATACCAGAAGAATGATTTATTCACCTTGAGTCTTGAGGTTTTAAGGCAAATGTCAATATCAAATTAAAGGGATAATTCACCCAAACTACAATATCATTATTCCAAACCTGTTCGACTTTTTCCTCAGTGGAACGCAAAAGAAGAACTTTTGAAAAATGCTGTGTTTTTTCTTCTTCTTCTATACATTGAAAGTCAATGGTGTCCAATGTAGTTTTGTTTCATTGGATGGACAAAAACATTCTTTAAAATATCTTTTTGTGTCTCCTTCGCACAAGGAACGAAAGTCATAAAAGTTTGAAATTATTTGAGAGTGCGTAAATTATGATTTTTTTGGAATGAACTGTCCCCTTAAGTGTCTCTATGGCCATTCAAGAACCAAGCATCTCTTTAAAGGCAGTAGTGTGGATTTAAGGCAAATTTTGATTGAAAACTTTCACGTTTTCCCACATCCTGCTACTTGGAGGGGATCACCACTAATGGTGGTCCTCGCTTGGGCCTCCACATTAGCACTTGGGCGTCATTAGCATTAGGTTTACCCAGAGCTTTAAGGGGGATCGGCTCCATGTGAGTCAACACCTTGGGCTGGTCCTGGTGCACCCGGCCGGTGAGTCTTGCTCGAGATCCCAGTGGCTTGGAGGAGTCCACGGCGATGTCCACTTTCATCCTCCACTTCACTGTCTGCAGGAGGATCTTCTCCTGTGTGGCCATATTCAAAGCCACCAGCCAAGTGGTGAAGCTCTGGTCGCGTTTGATCCGCGTGAGCAAAGGCACATTGCTCTCGCTCACCGGTACGGCCCATGTTACGCTGGGGTAGAAGTTATCATTCATGCTGACAGAGAAGCGTGAGGGTTTGGATGCGGGGCCGGAGAGGGTCACCGTTTCCGTTGTGTTTCCGTACCACGGGTAACTCACCCCGTCTGAGTCGCTGATGGCCTTTACCAGTCCTTCTCGTAACTCTGGCAGCTCCCAGCTTGACCTGCGGAAATGAACGTTTAGAGGTGAAGCGAACAAACATGGTTGTGCTGTTGAATATATGCTGTAAGTGAAAGAAGATGCTGAGTCCAAGTGCACAAATGATAATTGGGGTTAAGGATGACATTCATTATCAGGGTCCCAGCTGCCTGTGTAAAATGACTCAGTGTGAGAGGACGTTAATGTGGCTGGGTGTTGTTAGGTATGACCCCATGCTGGCATTTCTTCTTTGGTACAGCACCATCTGTGTCACAGTAAACCCCACGCAACCACCCGCTCAGGCAGTAATACACACCCCCACACACATGTCCACACCTCCACACAGACAGGCCCCCCCAGGCAGCATCAGAAGAGCCCACATCACACGTCACAGGGCTTGTGGGTGGGTGTGAGAATGTCTCTATCTCGTCTGCTGCACTGTGTGGATAATTGCATTCGCCTGCAAAACTAAACTGTTTAGTGCAACCACGCTGATGTTTCAGAGCAGCTATTCTGTTTTTATCTGCTGCCTCTCCCTGTCTGATCCAGTGACAGGCTGTGAAACTCATTTGTGGGAGTATAAATGAAAGAGCAGTGACTGATGAAGGTGCAAACACTCCTCCCCTTAGGCACTGAGCTGATGTATGCATACTCTCTGAATATAAATCACTGCTGCACTGCACTGAAGTTATCCTTTGCCATACACTATTTAAAGTCGTAATTGAACAGACTAATATAAATGAAAAATGAACTCATAGATGGGTCAATGACAACTTTTTTTTAAAGTCAATTTATACAAAGATGATTTGAATGTGATCAACATGATTTCAATTTCTGAATTAAATTAATTTAGAATTTTTTTTTTTTTTTTTTTTTGAGTGAAGCTTAAAAACTAAGTGGTTTGACTGTCCAGAGATTGTGGGAAAATAATGAAAAAAGTATCCTAAAAGGCTTAAATTCGTGACTGTAGAAATGTTGACAAGCAGTTTGGCATGTTTATTCTATTATTCTCAAATTTTTTATTTAAAATAAATGAATAGGCCTATCTTTTGTTCTGGTAAATCAAAGTCAGTGTGGCATCAATTTGATTAAAGAAAGTTTTAGGAAAACCAAAAAATACATTTTTAAATGTCGAGTGTTTTGTCCTTTTTATGAAAAGGATGTTTTGTTCCGGTCAAAATGAGTAACTTTAAGAAAAATACTGGTTCATGAATCATGATTCATGACTCACCTGTATTCAACATTCAAGTATTTTAGTACCTTACAGTTCATGGCTATTTTGGAGTCATTTAATTCGAATTAGGCTAATTGTTTTTCAATAATTACAGACTGAAATAACTTGACACAATATGTAAGAACTTTTAAACTAGATTTTTAAATACTTTTATAATCTCTGAGATCCTTATTTGCCACTGACCCAGATAAATGATTGCTTATCAGTGGCTTAATTTCCATATGTTTAGTTCATTTAGTGAAGAGCAAGGGCATCGAAGGCATAAAACATGCACCAGGCTTACATGCCGAGGTCTCCATAAGTGTTGTAAAATTCCATTTGAGTGCACGCTTGAATCCAACCCACAACCCAAGTCTCATTTCGAGGGATCGGCGGCATTACTATCCGGGCGGAGGCCTTGAAGTACGGGGTTTTGTAGCGGAGCACTATGGGTGAATTCTCCTCGATCACTGTCGGACAATGGTCAATCGTAGCAGACACGTCATAAACAACGATGTTCTCGCGTTTGATTCGGGGCTTGCAGGCGACACTTTGAAGGCAACCCATGGCTGGAGAGCGTCAGGGTAATCGGCCAACCAAGTAGGGTGTTTAAAAAATAATAAATATACTTTCAAATGTCCGAAAAAACGCGTCGATCAAAGCTCATGTCCAGTCCACGCGCCAAAAATAGTTAGGCTACTCAAATAAAAAAAAATGTAGGCTATTTGAATTCTGAAAAGTCAACGACAAGACATAAACGGGTGTCAATCAAAAGCACGTGCTTTCCCCCAAGTCAATGCCATTTAGATATGATCAACAGATATCAAATAACTCTCTAGTTACTCGGGATTAACAACAGGTTGCAAGACCTCCGACCATCTCTTGATCTTCGGTGTGCCCATGCTTTGATTGTCACTCGCGATCGGGCTTAAGGGTTGTTTTGGGCTCCCACTTCAATCTGATATGTTCCCTTTCAAATCCACATGGGCTTTTGCAGCTCTTCGCCCTTTCATCCGTTTCTTTCTGGTCCGAGTTTTCATGTCACAACCGGAGGCAGAGCAAAAACAGTCAGGTGTGGCGGACCGCTCGCCTCGACAAGAGCTGGTCGCGATTCTGTTTTTCTCGATTGATGTTTGCGCTTTCGGAACAACAGACAATCTCAAAGTATTTCATGATTTACAACGGAGGAGGAACCGCGAAAAGTATGTTACACAGCGGAGTGTTGCTCTCGATCACATCACAATTGACGTTCCGTTATTGCGTGTATTCCTTCAGTAAACACAGCACATCAACACAAACACGCGAGGCGTCCAGATGAGATTGGATAAATCGTTGAAATGTGCGCTGTAAAAACGACTGCTATCCAGCTTTTAAACCGTTCCCATGTCCGTTGTTGATGTGCACGGCGTGGTCGCTGTTCTGTTGCTGTGGTGCTGAATGAACGGTCAGAGGCGCGTGGGAGTACCGGTGCACATTATAGCCCTCCTCACGTAGAGCTACACTCAGTTCATCATATAGAGCTCTCCGTTAAACAAAAGCAGGAAAAACGCTATGTAATGGAATAGCTAATAAAATGCATGACTCAAGATTGATGTACACCGAGTTTGAACCTGAGTTGATAATGTTGGATCTTATGAAATCCTGTGTAATAGGCTATTCGTAATTCTTTAGTAATAGTATATTATGCAAGCAAGCTTATATAGATAGGGCTACACGATGTTGAACACATAATGATGTCTCTTCCGATATAGTTGGCTTGTGTAACACGAATAGGTTGATCTTGCCATTATGTAAAAGTGGGACAAAATTTTAAAAACAATAGGTAGGCTAGGGGTGGAGATGTCATAAAAGTAGAATAATTTTTCCATATACACGTGTAAACCTCGTTTCACACTTTTTTAAAATCGTTGACTTTTAAGGCTATAAGGGTCGACAAAAGACATTTGCGTTAGAAGAAAGGGATAGTTCACCCATAAATGAAAATTATCATTAATTATTCACCCTCATGTCGTTCCAACCCCGTAAGACTTTCATTCATCTTCAGAACACAAATGAAGATCTTTCTTTTTAATGAAATCTGAGAGCTTTTTTGTCTCTCCATTGACAGCTATGGAACTGACACTTCAAAAAGTTAATTAATCAATCGTAAAACTAATCCATATGAATTGAGCGGTTTAGTCCAATTTTTTTTTTGAAGAGACACGATCATTTTATATGATGAAGAGATTTAATTTTGACTTTTATTCACATTAAAACATTTATCAGCAGACATAAACCAAAGCTCATCTGAACCTGTCTGGCGGGAGAACAAACCTCATTGGTTCTATCAGAAACTCAAAAGTGCGCATAACACAGGAGAATGAACCTCATTGGTTCTTGCTGAAGCTCAAACCAGCTGTGTAACAGGAGAACCTCATTGGTTCTCGCATGACAAGCAAACATGCTTGAGCTTAAATTTACCACAACTGATGTGTGAGGTGATGAATGTTTCAGAAAACACACCTTTGACTAAACCATAGACAGTATAAGAAATGGACAGAGCCATCTCATTGGAACTCAGTTGAGACAGTTGAAGCCCATTTTTAGCGATTTTTGAGCACTTCCGTTCCTGACGCGCAGACTCAAACCGACTCAAACTAAGCTTGATGACGTGAGCAACCTGTCTGACAGCCGCAAATCTTCTAGTAGCTGTGCCAAGAGGAATGTGAATCATTCCCTTCCGAAACTTGCAGAGCCGGAGATCGTGAGTATTAGCTGTACATGAGCTCGCAGCAGGAGCAACTTTACAACTCTCTATGGGCTTCTCCCTTGACTTTATGCCTCCACGTCCCCCCGATTGCGTGCGAGCTTCTACTTCTGTCTATACGGTAATTTTCTCTAGTGTGCGCCAGAGAGTCGCGTGTTATGACGCAATCGTTAGCCTACTTTTACAAAAACGGCTTCTACGGGGTCATAACGTAAGATACAAAGTAATGGAGCCTTTTATACATTGTCGTGTTTCTTTAGAAATAAATAATGGACAAATGGAGTCTTTAAACGCCTCAGATGTAAAGTTATTCGCTGTCAAAGTGACGCCAAAATGAATGGGAGTCAATGGAAATGCTAACGCAAGTGAAGTTCTGCTACAAGATGGCGGCACCCGGTGGCTTCAACTTCCGGTCGATGGATTACCCCTTGGACTAAACGGCTTAATTCATATGGATTCGTTTTACAATCTCTTCATTCACTTTTGGAAACATCAAAGAGCCAGTTGTAGCTGTTTATGGAGGGACAGAAGCTCAGATTTCATCAAAATGATCTTCATTTGTGTTCCGCAGATGAACAAAATTATTGTTTGAAACGATAGGGTGAGTAATTTTTGGCAGAATTTTTGGGTGATCTTCATTAAGCGATTGCGCCATGAGAAAGCACCTGAGTAAACCTTAAAGATAAACGTTTATACTGCAAGCCAATTTTACTGCTAACTTTAAGAGCAACATTTTCACTTGCAGAATTAAATATAATAATTAGTTTTTGTAACTTTGATCCATATTTAACCTCCCCTTCTCTCTTACATATTAGGCTAACACAGGAAGATTATACAGCGCGAGAGACATGTTCCGCTTCTTAATTGGTGGCTTTCCGTGTTACCATGACAACCAACATAGACGGACTGTCGTCACTAAGGCCTATCTCATGTCAAATTTATCCGTCAGGCAAACATCACTGTGAAAATTGGCTGGTATCTTGTTAAGTACGTTTGAGGTCAGAAGAAGATGATGGTGATTAGTGAATCAGAACGCGCCCTGGAGAGACAGATTGAACGTGTACAGGTGTAAGTGACATCATAATGACAGCCGACTGCCTGCATTGCTTTGTTGTTTTTCTCACTTTTAAGTCGCTTTAGAATAAAAAAGTCTGCCAATCGAATGAATGTAAATGACTATCTCCCTATTCGTTCTTATAAAAGGATGAGCAGCCCACAGAATGAGGTAGAGCGATAAAAAGAACTTTAGGATGTCTACTTTCCTTATTTTACATAATGTCACGTGACATAATATCTCATAGGAATTATACGAGTCACGCAGTCTGTTTCAAGAACACTAAGCACCAAACAAAGAAACCGTTCAAAAAGTAACTTTTTTGTTTTATCTTGTTTCCGTGTCTTATTTATTTATTGTAAGTATTTTCTTAAAATAGCATGCCATGTCTCAAGGCACAGTCTGCATTTACCACATTTTCCAGCAGAGGGAGATATTGCTTCTGAGAAATGCAAGTCAATTGTACGACTAGCTCGGATTTTCTGTTATGTGTAGGTGGTGTAAAGTGCACTCTTTCATACACACTTTTTTTCTTTCTTTTTTATTGTTTTAATGCATACAAATGATTGCGATGTCTGCAGTTCCGTTACCAGAATTTTATGTTGTGAATTTGTTTTTTGGTCATTACATTGTTTTGGAAAACAGAATAACATAGGAATAACATTTCTTTATTTAATTTGTTTCTTATGTCCTCTGTAGTGGACACCAGGACCCATTTATTAAGAAAATTAAAAAGACGCGAATAGGCAAAAACAATGTGTGTTTTTTTTGTTAATTCACCAATCAATGTTTAGGTTTCTAAACCCCTTATTTGCATCCTGAGCTTTTTTTTATTTGTTATCCAAACTTAGTATAAAGATGTTTCTCAACTATGTTACGAAAGATATAACAGACTGGTTTAATAAGCCATTATACCTTATGAAATATGTGTGTAAACATGGCCAAAAGTGTCATTCCCATTCTGTGCAATGCATCTGTGTATCTAATTTGCATATTAATGTTTTCTTGGGGCAACATATAATGACAAAAGACTTGTAATAATGGGGGCAGTAATGGGGAATATTTTCATAAGAATATCTCGCATTTCATAAGAAAATTGATGTATAATTTATTTCCCTATTCACTTGTTGTGTCTCCAAAATGCCTGATATGCCATGATGCAAGTCCTGATGTCCACTAAAGAGGTCGTGTATGAATTTAATTACTGATAATTACAAAATATTATATTTCAGTAAGAGTGCTACATTTGATCATTCAGTCATTTCAAGACCAAGGAGAGGAAGTTTTCATGGTTACACCTCCAAACATTTGGTATCTCTGCAAAGCCCAGAATGTGCTTATTACAGGACATCCAGACTTAAAACTTTGACATGTATGTTGTCAGAGAAATGTGCTAAAATATAATGTCCTCTACAGAGGAAAAAACTCCATTGCTGGGTCTCAGGAGGATATGACATGTTTTTTTTGTTTTTGTGATGCATGTTCATAGTTTTGTGTTTCTGAATCAGTTGGGGGTCAAAATGACAATGGAGAGAACAAGAGGATAAGCAATTGAGAGAGAGAGAAAGAAAAGGGAGGAAGCAGTAATCTTAGTTCAGCCGCCTGGTTCTATTAGATCAGGCTTCTGGTGGAGTGGATTAGAGCTTGGGTGAAAAAGAGAACTGGAGAAAGAGCCGGGAGATGTCTGTCGGGTAGCCCGTCTGTCTGAGATGGCCCAGCGCTAATGGACAGGTTAAGATGGTCTGTAATCCTTACATGGGTGGGTAAATAATCCTATGCAGAACAGGTCTGGGC